GACACTCCAGCTGATAAATAAGAGAAATAATCAATAAATCTTATCCCAGGATTAGTGTTAAATTCATTGAGTCGCGTAAAAGAAAAGTTTTTCATTTCGCCTACATTAGTCCATTCGGATATAGAGCCTTCAACTGATGTTCTGATCGATCTTCTTGGGATAGACAGAGTTGGTCTGCTGAAGTATCGGGCTTTGACTGTGGTGGGGCGGAATGTGGCGTTCTGATCCTTAAATTTGATTCTATATTTAAGGAAGATACGCGAGAATATCATTTTATATTTAGTTATGAATAATAATTCAGTCATTGAAAATTGAATGTTAAATGTGTGTCGCGTAATAGAAACGTGGAAATCGTTACCTAAAACTCATATTATGGTAAACCTCAGGTTTCTTGAAATTTCGTATTGATAACACGCCTTTGTATATGAGTCACTACAAGTGAACGAGCTAAACTTTTGAGGAAGTTTTCTTTTTCAACATCCTTTGATTGGTGTAGGCTATACAAAACACGATATATCGTGTCCTAGATTTGAATGCCGTTGAACTAGAAGATATGGTATTATTATAATAATACCATAGGCCATCTTCTTGTTCGACGGCTACATGAATAAATTTAACATTTCTTGCCCGCCTTATGAACACCCCCCTTTGATGGAATTATAAAACAAAATAAAACCGGATAATTTAAAACACAAGATTAATTAGTTTCTTCGTATTTGTTGTTACTGCTTATTTCTAGAGGAATAGTTATAAAACTTTGAGATTAACCTGTACGCTCTGACAGCGCGCGACATGTTATACTCCCGTTCGCTCAGGACCTCAAAATGGCCCAGTCTGTCTGTCACAGTCTGTTCTGACACAAAATGGCATTGCCTGCCATTCCACTCGTTCATCCCTCGCAACTCAAAACTATTATCTTCATCCCAATCCCATTCATCCTCCCTCACATTCTCCTCTTCCTGATTTGCAGTTATCCTTCTTCTTTCGTACCTCTCCCTTCTAATGGAATGATCACAGATTTGCCCCTGAATATTAAAGGGCAAATCCGTGTCATTCGGGAAGACTTGCACGAAGGGTGCTCCACGCAACCAACCCACGCTTCGGCCACGGCCACGGCCACGTCCACGACCACGCCCGCGTACAGACGCGGTCCCTCGCCGCTGACGTGCCGCCGCCGTGTCCAACACCTCCACCATGAAGCGGGGTGCGGGGCCTGGAGCACCCTCTGGAGCAGGTAAATCCTGTTGAAAAATGAACACGTTGTTACTGTGCTGCAAACACTATATATATATATATATATATTTATTACTTACTTCCACTCTGCGGGGTGCGGGGCCTGGTACAGCCTCCGGAGCAGCCACTGGAGCTGCAGCCGGAGCCGGAGCAGGTGACCCCTGTTGAAATAATAAACACATTTTTATTGGGCTGCAAACATTTATATATAATAAATATAAATAAATATTTATATAAATACTAGCTGAAATATAAAAATTTACATAGAAACGTTTCATTACTGAAGTTTTGTTTTACTTACTTTCACTCTGCGGGGTGCGGGGCCTGGTACAGCCTCCGGAGCAGCCACTGGAGCTGCAGCCGGAGCCGGAGCAGGTGACCCCTGTTGAAATAATAAACACATTTTTATTGGGCTGCAAACATTTATATAAAATAAACATAAATAAGTGACTGATGCTATAAATATAAATATAACTTACAGACACCTCCGCAGGCTCTACCACCAACTCCGACAGGTCCCCCCATGACCCGTCGGACCGCACATAGTAAATTGGCATGATCTGTTGAAAAATGAACCCGTTAATATCTATAAGTGTCTATTTATCTATACTGTGTGTGTGATGTTACATATAAATATTACTTACAGATACATCCCAGTCATCTTGTTCCCCAACCTCTTCATCGATGACCGCTTCTTCGGCTTCCTCCTCATCGAGAAGGACATCGATGAAGACCTGGGGAACTGGGTTGTTTCCGGGGTTCCACATGCTAAAAAAGAAAATAATAATTGTTACATACCATAGTACATAGTTATGCCTATCATATTATATATATATTCATGTTATATTATATATATATATATATGATATATAGGGATAAAAATATTTATATATATATATATATTCAGCAGAGAATATATAGACAATAGGGTCATATTATGTTATTATATCAGCAGAAATTGCTATATACATACTGAATTTATCCAAATGAAAAAAAAGTGAAGCACATGTCTTTACAATAAAAATACGTAAAATTTATCACTTTTTTTTATAAATATCTTCATATCGATCGCCTTATCGATAAAATTCGCGCAATCTCTCCAAATATGCTAAATATGGCGAAATATTTGAATTGTTATATAGGTATTGGACCGTTTTATGAACAATTGATAGATGATACAAGATAGGAAAAAGAAGAAAAATAAATATCTATTCTTGATTTATCCGTAAAATATAGACATTTACATTTACTATTTCGTTTGAACTTTTCTACGTCATTTCGATTTCAAACTATTTTTAGCATTCACTTTTCACTTTATGCCACAAATTATATATCTACAGGTTTGTTATATCACAAGGATTACAAAAATGTATAATACTTACGTTTTTCTCGCAGACAAAATGATAAATTAGTTTATAAGAATCACAGCACTTGTGCACGACGCACGACGCGTAATGGCGGAAATCTAAAGTGAATTATTTTTTTTATTTTTCTAAGAAACATTGCCAGGTTACGTTTTAAAATAAAAGAGCATATCCTTGTCTTTGGTACTATTATCTATTGCATAGTGTTGGTTTTGTTTAAAACGAAAAAATAGTTTTTTCATAGGTACGCACGTTTACATAATTCTGATCAAATTAGATCACTACTTGGCGGACGTAAGGTAGGTATTGTACGATCAAAAGTGCGCACGGCTTGGATTACAGGTTAAAACTAAATTAAAATAAGTTTATTCAATCACTTTACGTACAACTAGTTCAGCTGACGTTGTTTAGATTAATTATTATTTGATTTTCAATAATGCAGTTAAAATTAATGTCCCTTTCAAAGTCATCAGTAATCAATTTTTTTGTTTTTTCTACCACTTTTGCCTAATCATCATTTTTGATATGGGCACATGCTTCAACGAATATAAAAGAAACAGTCCAGAAAGTTAAAGCCGAGTCACAAAATAAGAAGACAAACATAAAATCACAAAATTACGCACAGTAAGCTCCCGAAATGGCGGGAAATTGAAATTACGTAGTGGTTTTTTCAGCCCGGCCTTATATATATGTTTTTTTCCCTACACAAATTTACGTTGACGAAGTAAAAAAAATAAACTTGTTTTATTCATGATTTATGTAATTTCAGGAATTTTTAAAATAAAAATTTAATTAAACAAGTAATACATTAACACAAATAATGATTCGATTATTTGAATATTTTTACTGATTATTCGAATATTTTTGCCGACGTCAAGTAAAAAAGTTGATACTGGTTATTTTCTTAATATTTTGCTTTATTTGAAAAATTCGAATTTAAATTAGTGATAAAAAACTATACACGTTGTTATGAAATATAAATAACTTCATAATTCTTCGAATTTACGTAAAAGGTTATTTTAAATCGTCTAAGTACGCTTGTGCAAAGTTATAGCGCAATGATTAATGCGAAACGTCAAAAGGTATTTCTTGGATTTGGTTGACTATCACTACAAGTGAACGAGCTAAACTTTTGAGGAAGTTTTCTTTTTCAACATCCTTTGATAGGTATAGGCTATACAAAACACGATATATCGTGTCCTAGATTTGAATGCCGTTGAACTAGAAGATATGGTATTATTATAATAATACCATAGGCCATCTTCTTGTTCGACGGCTACATGAATACGAGTAAATTTAACATTTCTTGCCCGTCTTAATTAACACCCCCTTTGATGGAATTATAAAACAAAATAATTTTAGGTTCTTGAGTGCTTTCATCAACCTGATCGCTATGATGCATCAAAGAAACGAGTATTACAGCCCTATTCTTCTTTGGTACATAGGAACATAATCTTATTTTGTTCGTAAATCCAAATAAGGTCGATTGTACTTCGCGATTCTTATTTGGTTGAAATTGTTTGGGTATATACCTTCTATTCTTTTTACTGTATCTACCTAAGTTATCTTTCGTTTTGATAATTCATCTACGAGCTGTATAGATGAAAATCAATTGTCAACCGTTACTTTTCGGTTGCTACCTATGGGTTTTGTGAGGCGTAGCACACAATGAGTTAGAACCAAGAATTTTTTCTCTTCTGTGGTCAATCCGATGCTGTTTGAGTCTTTTTCGGAATAAATATACCAGGCCATATTTACCAAGTTTTTGGCATATATGATATCATGTGACCCCTTCCCTGAAATTTGACGAGCATTTCATCCACAGTAACACATTCGCTTTATTTATATAGTTGTTGAGAGTTACTCACAAACTTGTAGAAAATTGGCGATATAGCAGCCAGTTTGTCAGTCTTTATTCGTTCATTGCGATCATCAGGATTATCAAATCGAGGACATAAGAGCAAGATGAGAAATCTTGTTTCTGATTTAATAAGTTTCTTAATATTTTATTACCAGTGCCATTTGTAACGTGCAAATAACGTGAGTTTTCCTTGTTTGATATCAAAAGAGCTGAGTTAAATAGCAGTCCAATAAAAGCTTTGAGTTCAACAACGTTCAAGTAATTCAATTCAGGTCTGTCGTGACGAGCAAACTTCAATTTGTATACGGAAATCTTAGCACGTGTATGTGTATAAGTCAAAATTTGTTGGAGCATTTCTTTATCTTATTCCAGATGCTGTAGTGGTCTTTTTCATCGTTAGTTGTCAACTTAGAAGAACTTACACGAGATGATATAATATTACGTTGTGGTGTACGAACTCTAAAAGGCGTCTTTGCCCATTTGTATTTATTTTTCCCATAGAAATAGTCGGATCTTAGTAAATCCGAAAAAGGAGCGTTGTCTTAACTATCACTGTCAGGTTCGTCTTTGGCGACTCCTTGGTCCTGGCTCATGCCTTGGCCCTGTATCTGATCTTTATTTTCGTCAATATTGTGGTTACGCATTAATTCTGACGCAGACATCGAAAAATCTTCGATAGCTTCTTCATTATCAGAATGATCTGAAGTTAACAAATTACTCACTTTCTCTTCAAAAGATTGGTTCGTTTTTTTGTCTGGTGTAGTGATGAATTCCATATAGTATGAAATCACTTTATATTATAAAAAAAGTCCCCCGCCGCATCTATGTGACAGTCTGTACGATAAACTCAAAAAATACTGAACGGGTTTTCATGCGATTTTCTCAAATAGACGGAGTAATTCATGAGGAAGCTTTTAATCTACTTGGTATTATCCCCGCAGGTTCTTGCAGCCCGTACACCGTGCAAAATTAAGTACAAGTATAAAATGTAATCCACGCCGAAAGTCATGGCTACCGACTAGTACTATCTGAGCGCGAGAATTAGCCGCATGGCCATAGACAACAGGAGAACGAAAATTGGAAATATAAAAGATTAATCACCGAAAATTACTAATAATATTTATTCTAAATAAGAAAGGAATTTAATCATTTTTTACACTCGTTATATTTATACCGAAAACTAATTATCATCACAATCCATATCTATTTCCTCATCGTCGTCGTGGTCATAATCCGTGTCCGTGTCTTCACCAAAGTTAATAATAAACCTGCGAACAAACAATATTTATTCTAAATAAGAAAGGAATTTAATCATTTTTTTTATTTACACTCATTATATTTATATATGTATTGTACAATTATCAGCCCATATATACAAGTGCTCCATGTCCCTATTAGCCTGTATGAAAGCATATATGGCGTTCATAATATCACTCGCCTCTCGTCCAGCTTGAGCTTCATGCCAAAGGACACATGTGGCAAAATCGCTTGACTTCTTTTCAATTGGAGCAAATGTTAAATTAAATGTAACCAAACGGCTCATGAAAAAATCATCTTTAATTTCAGGCATCTCTGGTAAAATAATCACCTTTTGTAAATCCATTGATAAATATTTAACTCTATTTGAATTTTTGCTTGATCCATCTAATCTGTATCTTTGTAAAGCAGTCAGCTTTGAACTTATGATTTTCATATTTCGTTCTTATTTTTTCAGGCATCGAATTAACATCGCTGTAATTCTTCAGTTCTTGTTCATACATTGAGCATTCTACACAGCTATCACCTTTAGGCATATGAAATGATATTTTTAGTTTTTTTATATTTTGCCTGTATAATTCAACCCCACATTTAAAATTTGGATTTTTCTGCTTGAAGTCTTTGTACATTTGCTGTAATGTTAAGTGTCTCGGCAAATATTTAGTCAATGGCGCATTGTGACGGCGATAATGACTGACAGTGGGCTGAAAACTCATGATATGCTCAGTTATTATGCTTGCATCAACTTTTCTTCGATTGCCACCCCTATTTTCTTTAGAAGCAGATGCATTTAATATTCCTTTCTTTATAGTTTTACTAAGTTCCGTTATCACGCCATCAGTTTTATATCCAAGAGTTGCCAAAAAAAAGTTACGGCACACGGGAATCAACTCGTTGTCTTTATTTGACAAAGAAAAATAACGACTTTCGTTTTTAGAAAACGAATCATTAGAATTTGAGATTTCAACCTTACGTCGCTTTATAGAACGTATAGTTATGCATTTATTGAGAAAATTACGCCTTGATACAAAATTTCGTTCCCAATATTTATCCCAAATCTCTTTCCGACTTTCAACTGAAAACTTTGTACCGGGTGTCCGGTGGCAGAATTAGGATTTCAAAATTAAATAATAAAAAAACTGCAAAATATTTTTTTTATTTCAATGACTATAACAAAGAAGGGAAGTGCGGGTTTTATTTCTTAAAAATTATTTCGTCTAAATGTTGACCATCATGTCGGACACACTCTTGGAATCTGGCTTCAGTATTGCGCGCCACTCGCTGGAGAAGGGACGTCGGGATGCCATTAACCTCGCGAACGATATTTTCTTTTAATGCTGAGATGGTCGGTGGGGCGGTTTCATAAACTTTACTTTTGAGGTACCCCCACAGAAAAAAGTCCATGGGGGTAAGATCCGGCGACCTGGGTGGCCAGGGGATGTCAGCAAAACGGCTTATCAATTTGTTAGGGAACAAATCACGAAGAAGCGCCATGGTCTCTCTAGCAGTGTGAGGCGTGGCGCCATCTTGCTGAAACCATGTCTGTGAACTGTAGGCAGGATGTTCTCTTAATATTGGCAGGAAAAAATCGTTAAGCATTCGCCGATAAGAAACGCCGGTTACAGTAATGGCTTGTCCTTGACGATTTTCAAAAAAATAGGGTCCGATTATTCCTCTGCTTGACAATGCACACCAAACCGTCACTTTGGGACTGTGAAGTGGCTGTTGATGTTTCAATCGCGGGTTCTGTCCTTTAGGTGACCAATAACGGCAGTTCTGTTTATTTACACTTCCATTTAAATGAAAATGGGCTTCATCGCTCCAAAAGATTGTGTTCACTGTACGAAATCGCTGCAACATTGTTTCGCAGAAACTTTTGCGCCAATTGTAATCATTAGGCTTAAGCGCTTGCACAATTTGAATTTTAAAGGGGTGAAGTTTAAGGTCCTTTTTCAATATTTCGTGCACAATCGTTTTTGGGAGCCCTAGAGCAGCCGCTCTCTTACGCACGGACTGTCGCGGGTTATCGCGTAAACTGTTTGCGACAAGTTCGATGTTGTCATCAGTCCTCGACGTTCTGCTGGATCCCGGCCGCGGATTATTTGCTGCTGAACTTGTTTTTCTGAACCTCCGCACCCACAATCGAATCAAATTTTCGCTTGGCGCATCACGTAACCGTCGGATATTGTACCGCGAACAAAATCTTCGACGAGCAATAGCACAGGAATCGTTTGCTTTAAAATAAGCTTCGATTGCGAACGCACGTTGTTCACCCGTCCACTGCGACATCGTGACTAAGGAACCCGCACGAATGACGAATCGAACGTGACCCCCCCGCCCGCCCCTCCGCTAACGGTTCGAAAACAGTTCGAAATTTAAATCCTAATTCTGCCACCGGACACCCGTTACATTGCCTCTTGCATTTGCCATCACAACTATTTACGATCATCGGATACTTTATTTTACTTTTATTTGGTTTAGTAACATTTGATTCAGTGGCATTTACATATTGCGGATTGGTATTTTGTGTTGTACTGATGTTTGATAAATTATCATGTTCATTATAAGTAAAAACTGGACCGGGATATGCAGCTACGAAGTGTATTTCAGGTTGTCTATTTTGATGCAGAGATTCAGTGGCAGATTGAAATATACAAGAACCGAGAAATCCCTATAATCAGTATCAGAAGAAGTATCTTTTACAGATTCAGACAGCTCAAAATCAGAATCTTTAACTGAATCGTCCAAATCGCTAAATGTAATTAATTCTTCAGGGTCAATTACACTTAACCCTTTCCACCCGGGGTAGTAATTTTTAACGAATTTCCGCTTTTTAACTTCATTATCATAATAAGGTAGGTAAAAGGAAACGCTCAGATTATTTTCAGATTTTTATTGTACCTAGAAGTACTATTTCTAAGACCTAGACTTAAAAGTACTGTCAGGAACTTTGTGTCATTACAATGTTAGGAACTTTGACAGAAACTACAAAAATAATGAGACCCAATATTGACTTAGTAATAATTAAAAAGATAGGTTTTTAATTACAAATTAACCTCGTGGTATTCAGCAAAACAATTTTTCTTTTCATTTACACACAAAAACGTTGCAATGGGAACATTTACTATGAGGTTTTGACGGAATCTTTTTCATACTACAAACCTCACACTTTCCCCTATTTTCTACAAACGAAGGCCAATGGATGCCTCTATTACCCAAGCGAACGTCTTTTATAGTGGAGTAGTCAGATTTGCGTCTTTTGGAAGGGCCACCTTCCGAAGTATTAGTTGTAGAAGTCTTTCTTTTCTGACTAACATCTTTCATTGTCATCAAGACTTGAGTAACAGAGCGTCGAAAATCTTTTACGGTAGTCTGTTCCATTATAAGTCCATGAATGACATATGAATTGACAAATGCGATGTCCAGAAGACCCCAAAACAACCTGTGCCACCATTTCGGAGATTTGCGATCTATACAGTAAAGGGCTCTCAAACGATCAGCTGTATCTAAGCCGTCCATATAGCTATTGTAATCTTTGACAGCTACAGGGCATGTAATGGTAGACTTGGACCCATTTTTTTCTTTACGTGACACAGCAGCCGTTTCATTTCCATGAAAATTAGATACTAAATGAACCACTTTGTTATCCTTCCATTTCCAATATCCAATGTCTAAATTTGAAAATCGATGATCACTGTCGCCCCTTTTCATTTGAGAATCAGCGAGCATATTTCCGGGCAGTCCTTTTCTATTACTTCGGATAGTTCCACATGCGTAGGTGTTTTCAGTTTTCAGTTTCTCAAGCAAAGCAACAGACGAGAAAAAATTATCAAAATAAACTATCTTTTCTGTACCCCAATCTTGTTCCGTCAACTCCAAAACAACTTTCTCTCCCAAGCCATAGCCGGTAAATTTTGAGTTCAGTTCTTCGTCTTTTCCTTGGTAAATTTGAAACTTCTTTATATAGCTCTCTGGTCAGCAAGACACCACAACTTATATCCCCTTTTTATGGGCTTCATAGGTAGATATTGTTTCAAGACAGACCTACCTTTAAATTTGATCATAGATTCATCTACACTCAGTTCGCGAGTACCATGATAAACCTCTTGAAATTTTTTATTGAGTGCATCAATCATCGGTCTAATTTTATATAACTTATCTTTGCAATCTTTAGGCATTTGTGAGTTATCATTGCAATGCAGATGAGATAAAATGATAGCAAATCTGTCTCTTGGCATTGTTTTGCAAATAAGTGCATTGTTGAGATCAGGTGCCGAAGAGTAATGGTCTCTCCACGCCGGACGAGTATTGTAACCCATAAAAAAATTCATACCTATAAATGTCAGAAGTTCCTCCTTTTTTTAGGTTCAATACTTTGCCTCTCTGAGTAGCATAAAGGTTACTTTGGTACACAATATTATCAACAATATCTCCAATTAATACTAAAAATATATCAGTTGGGGTGCTACAGTGAGCAAAACAGTCTTCTACTACTCCAGTATCTAGACCGTATTCCTGTAAAATTGTATCTAGGTCCCTCTTTTTCCATTTACGGTTTGGTTTGGGTAATCGCTGATTACTTTTGTGTGAAGACGTATTTGCAGACGGTAGATCAATCTGAACACTAGATCCAGGTATTGGAGATGTTGGTACTTGATTTATAGGGCACTCCAATTCATCTTCTTTTGAAGGCGACGATGGCGGATCTTCTGCTCAAATATTTTCTAGAGCTCTTCCAAAAACCTCATCGAAGCCTCTTGGTGAAGGTTGTTGAATATTTTCCACTTCATCATCGGACACACCTGCTTCAGACTCTTCGTCACAGTCCGGAATCTCTTCTAATAACAGGGCTTCAATTAGAGCAGTATTTTTTGAAATATCCATCTCAATGGCTAAAACAATAAAAAATAGCTCAGAACAATTATAAAATAAAAAAAAAACATTTATTTATGATAAAGCAAAATACCCACTTGATCGAGTATGTGTATTATAAAAGCTTATAATTTTTAGACTAAAATCGCCTGACGGTACTTTTAAGTCCACACCAGTTTTTATCAAATATTCATATAAAATAAAGTGAATAAGTTATAACAGCTTTTACAAATGTAGTCCGTGATATAAACAACGAAATTAGTAAAAAAAAATAGCACTTAACTATGATATTCTATTTATAAAACTTTTTCAATTACACCGCACAGGAGAGTGATAAAATGTCCGACCGGTTGTAACTCGCTGTTAAAATTTTTCGGAAACGTCACGCGGTAATTCAAATAACGCGCTGTGATTGGCTTACGGAAACGGTACTCTAAAGGATCGTCAGTTGTAGTTAGCATAAAGTGATTTCGTACTTAAGTTAGTAGACGAAACATGTGGAGGTACTTCTAAGTACCGTAAGGAGGGAACGGCTTCCAGCATGGACTATGGGATCAGGCGAGGCTTGCCGATCGCGTTTCTATCACCACTTTCTTCTTTAGATCGCCAACATTTTCATACATTATGTGCCTGGTTGACAGATGTTTCATCCAAATAAAATATTGGCCTTCCATCGGCTTGATATTTTTTACGTCTCGAATATAATGACACCTCAGAGCCATAATATCGGGATGCTTGGTTATTAATTTTCTTTTCGATTGGCAGCTTAGTAATCGAAATCCCAATTAACGAAGAATCTTTCTTAAATGCTCATGTGAGCAATGTATGATGTTCTCTTCTTTCAATTTGGCCGTTAGTTTTCTTAAACTTGGAATATATCTTTTTACATCGTATTACTGGGACGCTTTACGTCGTATCACTCCTAAAGTGAAACTACTTCATTTCTCTTTTTGGGAAATATGTTTTTTTTAAGAGATTTAAACTTGGAAGGTCCTGCAGGGTCATTCATTGTATTTCTTTCACTGACCGAATTAATTTGACCATCTTCAGTGTACCTTAATCAAACGCAAATATTTATATATATTTAAAAAAAAGACAATTCTTCTTATCGTCCTTTCCGAGAGCCCTGTTGCTTACAGACACGGTTTTTGCCAAATTAATATCGTTCATCTTGCGATGATTTATCTTTTTTACGCTCTTTAAAATACATGTATACGTTATACACAATTTCTTTTGATTTTCGTCCAATCAGTTTGCTCATCTGCGGATCGTAATCTCGTGTGCGTCCGACGAAATGCGTCCCAAGTACACAGGTAACCGTGGCAAGCGACCACCGGCGACAAGCGCTTCGGAAGCGTGCTCGCTCGTCCTCCCGCCATACCGCTCGCTTCCCCTTTGAGACCGTTATATCTCGTCCTTGTCAACCCCTGTAACCCCGTGGGCAAATATTTACATATATTTAAAAAAAAAAGACAATTCCTCTTATTGTCCTTTCCGAGAGCCCTGTTGCTTACAGACACTGTTTTTGCCAAATTAATATCGTTCATCTTGCGATTATTTATCTTTTTTACGCTCTTTAAAATACATGTATACGTTATACACAATTTCTTTTGATTATCGTCCAATCGGTTTGCTCTCTGCGGATCGTAATCTCGTGTGCGTCCGACGAAATGCGTCCCAAGTATACAGGTAACCATGGCAAGCGACCACCGGCGACAAGCGCTTCGGAAGTGTGCTCGCTCGTCCTCCCGCCATACCGCTCGCTTCCCCTTTGAGACCGGTATATCTCGTCCTTGTCAACCCCTGTAACCCCGTGGGCAAATATTTATATATATTTAAAAAAAAAAGACAATTCTTCTTATTGTCCTTTCCGAGAGCCCTGTTGCTTACAGACACTGTTTTTGCCAAATTAATATCGTTCATCTTGCGATGATTTATCTTTTTTACGCTCTTTAAATTACATGTATACGTTATACACAATTTCTGTTGATTTTCGTCCAATCGGTTTGCTCATCTGCAGGTCGTAATCTCGTGTGCGTCCGACGAAATGCGATGAGTCCCAAGTACACAGGTAACCGTGGCAAGCGTCCACCGGTGACTAGCGCTTTCGAAGCGTGCTAGCTCGTCCTCCCGCCGTACCGCCCGCTTCCCCTTAGAGACGGTTTTACCTTGTCCTTGCCGATCCCTGTAACCCCGTGGGCGCGGACTGCACGACCTTGACGGCATATGTCTATATGTCTATACCTTCCTAAGAATAGGCAAGCAAAGATATTAAGTGGTTGTAATTCTATTCATCTCAGCTTTCGCCTTCGCATCTCCAGTGTGATAGATGGTTTTAAGGCGGTCGAGAGGGTCACCCTTATCATTAAAATGGGCCACTATTATACCTGCGGTCACCGATTCGTTGAGAGGAAGAAAGAGAGGTCTTTTAGTTTTCCACGTAAAAGTTAATTGAAAGGTTTCGGGGGTAGAATTTTTGACTAAAACGAAAGGTCTCAATTTCCTTTCCGTCTTGATAATCAACTTCAGGTGATCCATCTTTGTTGGGGAAATGGTTTGTGTAATTTGTATTTAGTGTCGTATTCTTGTTTAATTTTGGTATTATTTAAAGTTTTTTTTTGTCGAAATCATAATTCCCAATATTGCATGAACTGGACTGTCTCTGGACTGAACTCTTTAGTTTTGTCCCGACCTTTATTCACTTCGTCATTTTTGTCTTCCGTATTTTCTTTTCCCTTACTCTTTTTTTCTTTACCTTCTTTTCTTTACTTTTCTTTACCTTTTTTTAGAAACGTTTACTTCACTAAGTATCATGGCACATTCATCATTTGTTCCATCGTCGATATTTTCTCCTAACAATTTAAAATCTTCTCAGTTTAGGAAATAGTCTAAGAATTAAGACTCGTTAATATCTGTGTCACTGTGGATGCTAATTGTCTCTGAATGGCTAGTTGATTTATCTAAATTTTCTTGTCGTTTTGACTACTTGCTTTGTCTCCTATTGTTCACTTTTTTTGTACCTGATGTTCCTGGTAGTGAGGATTGTTTAACTTCTTTAGGGCGTTTTTCTGTTTTATTGTGAATCGTTGACTTTTTCAAGTAAAGTTTTTTCTTCTTCAATTTTTTTTTGCCTAGTGATAGAGTTATTGCTTCTTCACCCTTAACTACCCTCTTCTTTTTTACCAGCACCTTGTCTCATCTTTCCTGTCGTACCTCTTGTAGCAAAAGATCTTCGAAATTAACTTTTAGCTTGGATATAATATTTATCTTAGGTTTTTCATTTTCTTTGGGCTTAACGTGACGACTTTTTTTGGAACTGTTAGCATTTTGGTGAATCTGATGCGTCGTTTGCTACAAAAGGCTGACAAACGTCGTCTTTCTTTGACAGTTGACTCAAGAAGGTCACACACATATTTAAAACTGAAGTCATTTTAGCTTAGACTACTTACTTCTTTTCCAGCATGGTTAGGAGCCTCACTAAAGTAAAACTCTTCATTGGAAACACGGACGCACAGTTATTTTAATAATTTTGGATTTTTGTGCTGTAGCTGCCTTTGAGAATGTACCGCCTTTTTTTCAGGTATCTCGTAGGCTTCTGACTCGAATTTATCTACTGGTACTACGTTGCGCTTGAATGGATAGATTCCAGATTTTTTGAATTTTGTTATAAAGAAAAAATATAGTACAACACATTAACCATTTCTGGTGTACAAAATGATATAAATTTAAAAACATTGAGTATTATTAACTTAAAATAGTAAATAGTAGTACTATTAACATAAAAATAAACTAGAAAGCGACATAATAAGACAAAAACATTTTCTATTAATTGCACTATCACATTGTTAATATTTATATTTTCATGTCACTTTATATATTATTATTAAAAATAGTCCAAAATTAAAAGATATTGTTTTTCCAACAACTCACTAACCGAATAAAAAGATTTATTAAATAGCCACCTTTTCACCTCGTTCCCAAAACTCTTCCTTGGTTGTAGTTTTATGTTATCGGGTATAGCGTTAAATACTTTTATACACATTGCATAGCAATTCTTATGATAATTAACCATTTTTGGTATTTTATCAATGACTAATTTATCTGGATGCCTCAAATGTTTGGATTTGATGATATCTCCAGCAGTTATAAACAGCTCGGGGTTATTTTTAACAAATTTTTTATTTTTAGCAAATTTTTTATTTTTAGCAAATTTTTTATTTTTAACAAATTTTTTATTTTTAACAAATTTTTTAGATTATTTTAGATTATTTTTCTTGAGATAATCCTCAACTATTTCTAAAATTTCTTGCCCTTGAGAAACCAAAGCCCCATTTTTCAATGACTCGGATTGCCTCGGCTAATCTTTTTTCGTCTTCGATTGGAATTGCTTGTGGTCTGCCTCGGCTATTCGTATTGATTCCTTTCAGTCTTTCAAATAAAGTCGTAGTTGGGATTTGATACATCGCATTCTTAATCTCCTCAGACCCGAGACCACTTTGTGTTTGGTAATGAAATAAAATTTTAAACGCAGACTTATAGACCCCTAAATGACAAAAAAAATATTTAAAAAAATTATATGTTATTTGTTTTTTTTTAATTGTACGTCTCTTATACAAGACTCCGGTTTTAACATGTCAATTTTCTTAAACTGTAATCAAAACGAAAAAATATGAATTAAAACGTTTATTTAAACAAAAACATTACAGTTACTTAGACAGATTCATGATAGCGTTTGTAGCAATTTCGTACTACTACAAGGCATAAATGCATGTTACAAGTAGAGCAAAACACTCTAGCTTTCTTGCTTTTACATCCTGGCATTCGGCATCTGTGATTGTCATTTTGTTCATCAATCAATGGCAAATGACCGGCCATGGCTGTCCTCAGTTGAACTGGAGGTTGAGGTATATATTTTCTTTTACGGCTCCAAGGTTGTGCTTCTTCTGTTGAGTCGTCTGAATCTACTTCATGAATTATGTGTATCTGTTCCCTCGCTGGTGTAAAATAAAGTAATGAATTTGCAATTTGCACTTTGAACTCCAAGTAGTCCAAAATGTTTTTTTTTAGGGCATTCTAACAATTTAGCTTCATTCCTGTATACAAGCCATCCAGCAGCTGCCGCAAAATCAGACGAACAGTCCATTTTTTGGAACGTGCTCTAATTCTGTAAAAATTGATGACCCTGTCCAACATATCTACACCGCCCATCATGGTATTATATTGCTCTATTGCAAATGGTCTGTCAACTTGGATATACTGTTTAGTTTTTTTACACCAACGTCTGCATTTGTTGATGGGTTCTTTGGAATCAACAGATGATGCCATTATTACTGGTTTGTTATCAAACCACTTTAGACATGCCACATTACCGTCACTGCGAACGAGTTGATCCGAAGAACCACGTCCTTGTTTTCTCAGCTCATTGTCAGTTTTGAAATTGCAGTTTTTAGGTATGTTTGCCTTTCTAAGAGTACCTGTTGCCTGCATCTTCTTTGAACGTAATTTGTCCAGTAAATCCAATGATGTAAAGTATCTGTCCATGTATAACTTAACTCCTTCAGGCAAAGTTTCAGATAACTTCAGCACAACTTTTCCGCCAATATCAAGATTTTCAGCTTCATTGGTTGTGAGTATTGTATCTCCTTTGCCCTCATACATGTAGAAGTCTAAAGGCACACCATCTGAAGTAGTGCATACGAAGTTTTTTAAACTACATACTTGAAATGAAGAAATACATTCGTTTTTAAACTAAAATGCGTTAATTTCAACAAAATCAATTAAAAACTTACCTTGGATGCCATTTTTGGCAGAAATTTTCAACCACTAACTTCAAGCTGTCAAAAGTTTACAAAAATGAGCGCCAAACATGGTTATTTTTTTTCAATAAGTGACATCTACATTGAAATAAATGTACTAATAATTAGGAAGTTACACTTTGATAGGCGCTGGAGGGCAGTACTAGAAAAAAGGTCTCGTATAGGGGACGCCAGGTCCTAGGAGGTTAAGTAACCGAGTATTTCAAACTAGGATGTAAAATAAACTTTATTTTGGACAGCCTAATTTGAAGTACCGTACCGTCCATAACATAGTACCGTAGTCAGTACCGTAATGTAATAACTAATGTGATGTATTCAAAAGGTGCTTCAATACAAACTATGTACCACAGTAGCGGTCCCCGTTTTTGACTACTTATTGGTAAATTCAAATAACCATTTTTGGGAGTGGCGCTTGTAGACGTGTGAAAGGGTTCTTAAGGCGATACCTCCAGCGAACGACCTTGAGCGTTTGGTCTGTCGACGCTCGCTACAATATATCGCGTAAGAAATCTGCAAGACGCCACCTACTGCTACGAACGTAGTATTATTTTTTCAATGTCAATGAACTTTTAATTTTAAAAAATTTTAATTTTCTTTATTCGGTATATTAGTTGCATTACATTAGAATTATGTAGTCTAATATATTATCTAATTAATAAAAATGACTATTTTGATTATTTTTAACTATATACTATACTGCTAATATTGAATTAGCTTTTTATAGTGTAAATTATAATATTTGTCGAAATGTTAATTATGGATTCGAACTTTACATGCTAATGGTGCTTCATTTTTGTTATTTTCATTTACTTACATATTGAAAATATACTTGAATAGTAGGTATTATTATTTTATTTAGCTACTGAATTTTAGGATATGTTTTACCTTGAGGTCAAATATAATTTTGAGGAGCAATAGTTATTACCTACTAATCTTTTATCTGCTATTCCTTATTTAGGAACAATATTAGTAAATTGAGTTTGAGGGAGATTTACTGTTTATAATGCTACATTTATTATTTTAGTATTTACCTACTGGGTAGGTATTAGTAACTAAATAGATATTTTTTTACCCAATTACAATAACTAATGAGGTATTGTAATTATTTGTGATCAGTAATACTGGGTGGTTATTAATAAATAGAACAAAATAAAATATAAAGTCAATTTTATTATCTTGAATGTAAGAAATTGATTACAATTTTTTTTAACTTCCTTAAATTATAAACAAACAGCTGCAGCTACTAAATGAATATATGCGCATACATACGCCCACTAATACATACAAAATAATAATAATTATTTTTATATATTAGGCTGATGGTAAAATGATACCAGTCATGTTTTTATTATCTTTATTGTTTTCGTTATAAGTATATCACTGCTTACTAGTTGACTTCGATCACTGATCATAAAATGTAATTTTAATTTTAGGTATTTACCTATGAAATTGACGTTTTTTATGAAATAAGTTAACGTAATTTTTTCCATATATTTTATTTTGATTATTCAAATTATCACCCATACAATCGATGCATCTTTGCCAGCGCAGTAGTAGTTTATTAATGCCGTTCTTGGAGAAATAAACAGGAAGGCTAAAGAACGGAAGTCTGTTGGCACAAGGTCTAGTCAGTACGGCCAATGACGGAGAGCTTCCTACCCCAGCTCTTGTAACTTGGAAACCGTCTGTTATGCGGTATGAGGTCATATGGGGACGAGCGATTGACCGGAGCTGGTTGGACGGATGATTGGATTTCACCATCATTGTGGACAGTTCTTCATAGTACACAGTGCTACAGTTAAAATTTTACGTTTAAATGTCGGCTTTGCAATCAAAAATTTGTCACAAATGGAGACAACTGCAGTAACTTTATTATTATATTTAATATGTGCGGTATCGCAGGTACTTTTGCAATAGGTGGGGGTCATTCACAGCTAAATACACTTATGGCAGCAATCAACCTCCCGTTGTTATCTAAATAGACGCATACAGAGAACCATGAAGTTATCAGTAGGAAATGAGAAGATGTTTTAGTCGATTCCATGAATTACGCTGCAGAAAGAGATAAACAATTCGCAATTTCTAACGCCAGGGTGAACAAAATGGAATCCCCATAATATATGTTATTGCTGATGGTTGCTGGTCCAAGCATAGATACGAAAATAATTATAATGTTCTGTCGGGCGCAGCGGACGTAGTTGGCAAATATACTGTAGAAATTTTATTCTTAGTCATTAACAAATAAATACTGCTTTATCTTTGCTCGTGCATAAAACAAAAGTGTTGATCCCCCAGAACCTAAATGTTTAAAAAATTACAGTGGTCTTTCCACATTCATGTAGAGTGAAATAAGTGTAGAAGGATTCAAAGAATCCTTAAGAATGCATAATTTAATTTACAGAAACGAAAACTCATATCCGATGGTGATGCTAGTACCGACTCCAAAATGTTACAGGCACGTGCATATCCTTACATTACCGTTGAAAAACTAGAGTGCCGGAACCACATACTAATGAATCTTTGCAATAAATTACAAGCACCCGCCACAGACTCTAAATATAACATAAAATGCCGAAAATTAATAACAAAAAGAGCCATAATACGAACAAGATCTACCATTTACAAATCAATAAAAAAAATCCAGCTCAGATGTTCAATTTCTGTTTGACGACTTATTGATTAGCCACCTCCATGACTTCGGGGACCATACTAAGTGCTGATCATATTTTGTAAAAATATCGGCAAAACGGATCTACCATGATTTTATTTTAGGCCCTTTTTTGGTAAAAAATATGTTTATTAATTTAAAATGTTGCTGTACATACTCGCAGTTTATTATACGACGTTGGCAGCAACGTGGCTTAAAGGTACAATAGCGTAGTGGTTAAGTTAGTTAGTGGCAAAATAATAAATTTTTATTTAAAAATTCTTATAAACTAGATGTCATGCCACTGCTGTAGCTTTTAATGAAAATAAAACAATTACGCGTCTATACAAATCTATTAATGAAGGAGACAGTAATCAAGGCAAAATAAAACACCTAGGAAACTAAAGAACAAATGAAAATGTGAAAAATAAGCTAAACGGGAAACTAAAAAAAACGAATCATGTTTTTAGAAAAACCAAACAGGACCACAGTTATGGACCAGGACCACATATATACAAATGGCATATCTGGTTTCGTACAGTCAAGATTGTACGAAACCAGATATGCCATCAGACATTCCCAATATACTTAGAAAAAATTAAACGGAAAAATTTAAAGAAAACTTCTGAGGAAAGATGTTTAATCGAACGGACAACCGTTTTATAACTGCGACTGGCTAGAGATGCGTAGGTCGTTATTTTTCGCTTCGAACTTTGGGAAAGTTATCACACGGCGAAATGACCCGAGTTGTAAGTTGTAAGTGCAAATTCTCTTTCCTTTTCTGCAGCATGCTTTATCGATTCTTTGGAAACACTTTCCCATTTTTCACTAATTAGGTCGTGGTTTGTCGAATATATATTTTCGGACAAAGAAGATTCATTGATGACAATAGCTCATTTAGTTGCGAATTTCCCGCGCCTATTGCAATCGTACCTGCGACTCCACATTTATTTAATGATAAGTAATTTTCACCACAATCATCATTTTCTATTATAAATTTTTGGTTGCATAATTGGCATTTAAACGTAAATTTTGACTCTAAGCCCTTTTGTGTTTCTCCTATAAGTTGTAGTTCGGTGAAGCTGCAACCTAATGGACCATGATTTGAAATTTTTATTAATTCTGTAAAGAAGTGGCTGACGTCAATTATTCTTCTTCTTATTATTTTTTTAATACTGCTTTTTTCAGCCTCACAAGATATTTGTAACTGCAAAAAAGAAAACTATGGAAAACAAAAAGTGTTATAGATTCAAACGAAATATAGGCTCCCAAAAATAGATGTAGATAAAGAGGTATTTATCTACGACTTAGTACTTATTTACGAGTATACCTAATTAAAATACCTACCAAGGTATTGTGATTAGATTGTACTGGGTAGGCATTAGTACCTACTGGTCTGCTTAATACTAATACCTAAGTACTTAGTATTAGCACCGTAAAATGCCCTAACTTTGCACGAATTTAGAAATTTTTGTGATATTTCTTGACACACGTAGAAAAAGTGACATATCACATATAAAGAAAAATTGTAAATCAGAACTTTGTGCGCCTAGCAAAATAACACACTATTGTCTACACCTCATATTTTCAGAGAAATAAGCTTCTAAATATCCAGGCGAAGTTAATGGCATTTCCTCTACTTGGCCTAGGCAAAAACATCGCAGTTTAAAATCAGTTTCTAAATAAGCAGATTTCGCACCCATAAAGTGTTTATTATTCCTACTTATTCACGACATATAAGTGTAAAATATTTTTTTATTGAGAAGGTAGGCACTGTTAAGCAGACATTTTGAATATTTAGTCATTTTATGGGAATTTTTTCAGAATTGTCACCTTGTAACTACTGGAAAATCCTATACCTTTAAACGAGCAATTTTTGTATATATATAATCGGAATCTCGGAAACGTCTCCAACTATTTTCATAAAATTTGGTATCCAGGGAGTTTCGGGGGCAAGCTAGCTAGGATTTATTTTTAGAAAAAGTCTTTTTGTCCGTGTTTTCAAGCAATGAAAACTGCTATAATATAAGAAGGTAAATTTTGACAATTTGTTAATGATCGTAATAGCTCAAGTGTATATCGAGTGGTAAACTATTTGTAACATATATATGATATATATAACATACATATATATAACATATATATCTGCATATTTGATTTTGTCTAAATTTGATTTAATAATGTGTTTTTTGTGAACCTCCTTATTTTTTGTCCCGATGTCGAGTAGAGCCAAGTGAGGCCTTTCTAGACCTTGTCGTAAACAAAAAATTTAGGAATTTTTTTTTAGTTTTTTTTTATAATTAAATATGCTTTGGACGTACAAGTAAAACAAATAGTATAGTACTTGGAATATAAAGGCTTTAATTTATAATTATTACACCTTTGCAGAAAATTGGGGAAACAACACTTTTCTTACTTTCATTTTCAAATTAGTATCACTTTCGAAGTAAACCTGTATTCAAGTTATACATAATCTGATAACTTATTTAATAAAGTTTCCATTGATATATGATTTTAATATACCTTTTATACAAAATGTCTTGGAAACAGTCATTTTAATAAACAGCAGGAAGTAATCTGGAAGTACTTCGGGAAGTGCTCGACAGATGCGACATTTTGGCGAAAATGACCCCGACATACGAGGAGTTCAGTTCCGTTTCAGAAGCATATTCTTTGGAGTTATATGAGTCGTCATGCTAGCAACTTTCGTTAATTTAGAGTATTTAATAAACACAGACTTTATAGAAAAATCCAACTTCTTTAAGCATAACTGGCTGCCATGAAACTAAAAAGTACTTTGCAAACTTAGATAAGTGGCTGCAGTTATTACGTCACTGATGTCAAGTGGCCTCCACCGTACCAATCTAAATGAGAGACCCTATAATATTAGCTTACAAAAAAAAAACCAGATGTTTCATGTAATTATTGGTATATTTTTCAGCTATGTGCACTTTCGTTCCTTGCTAGTGGTAGTTACCAAAGAATATGCGGCAAAAATATCAACAATTATGTGTCGCAGCCTTCAGTGTCCCGCTGTGCTCATGAGTTTGAGGTTGTGGAAGCCCGTCCTTCCCCGGTCGAGCCGGCCCCCATTCGTGCATATTTTTAAAGGTTCTGCTGAACATAGGCCCGCGACACACTTCACACATGTTTAAAAAAAATAGAAACGACAAAGATACTCCCTCTAAAATGGAAGAGGCTCTTAATGTGTTCCTTAATATTATAGTAACTGAAGTAGTTAATAATATTTAACTACTTAAGTTAAAATTTTCAACGGGTTGGGAATTAGGACAATTCCCGTCCATCTCCAGTCAGTAAGATTGATCATTAGAAGTCCATCCGAGTGTTGTCAAAAAATATATTCGATTTCCGCAAAACTTTAAAGAAAGGCTCCAACTAAAGGAAAAGTAGGTAACATAAATAAAATAATTATAATTGCATAAGTTGATAAAAATGTTATGCAATAGCTTTACCGCGGCAGTCCCCGAGTGCCACACGTATTTTAGGACATTTATGTAAAACGCAAAAGTTATATTATGTTCTAAATACGTTCACGCTTACGCATACAAAACCACGGAATTTCACTAGTTTTATTATCAAAATAATAATTGATAACCCTACCCTAAGTTGGTCTTGATTTTACCAACTCAAGCTCGTTTTAGAAGATCAAAACATAGAGAGAAAGATAGGAAACTTTTTTTTAATATGGTTCATTAAATCCGTAAAAATAGTTTAAAATACTCACAATAAAATTTTGAAGTGCAGGTAAAATATCTGCGACCACCATTTGCACAATTCTGATTCCCAGACGTTTCACAACTTTTTTGCCAGAATCAAAAGTAAGCGACAAAAATCGTACCATAAATAAAATAAAGTCTCTAGCTTGAATAGCCTACTAATGAAATTCAAATGATTCGACAGGCCTGTTGGTCTAGTGGTTAGTGACCATAACTGCTATGCCGGAGGTCGTGGGTTCGATTCCCACCCAGGACAAATGTTTATGTGATGAGCACGATCATTTGTTCTGCGTCTGGGTGTAATTTATCTATAATATTTATGTATTTAGAAATATATAAGTATGTTTATCAGTTGTCTAGTACCCATAACACAAGCTCTGCTTAGCTTGGGACTAGATGGCGTTGTGTGATAGTTGTGGAATATTATTATTTATTATTATTGGTTTAGGCAAAGTAAGGACAGGTAGGTCAAATTAGGGCATTTTACGATACTTACTTAGATATCTTTTACCTAATCA